ACAGGGCATGGCGCCCAGTATAATCCCACTATGGTAGAAAAACTGGCTAACATAGAGTAAGGGCATGGTCATACCTGAACATCTTAACTAGAGAAAAAAGTTCACCTCCACAAAGGAATTTTATAAATTAAGTATAATCTCAGGGAAGACTTCATCTAAACCTCGTAGTGCATCCTCTCCATTCAAATTTGGTTACTATGGTCGAGGTACAACTTTTAGTAACTGGCTATACAAAAGTAATACTACATAGGTTACCTTTGTGGGTATTTACATTTTATTTCAACTCATATTTTAATCCAAATCCAGTGACTGGCAGTTTAATTTATAAATGTTGCCAAAACAGACTGAATTCAACTGCAGGTTAATAAACCTATTCTATAAAAGGACTAATTTTTAACTACATAGGAAGTCCAAAAATAATGCCTCCTGTATATCTGCGTGGAAACTACAACAGATATAAAAAATACTATTTCACAGAGCAAATATTCTCAGGTACAAAACATTATTTTTCAACATAGACATAACCATCAGCTATGAATTTTCACCAGCAATGAACAAGAGCCTGCAAGCTGCACTCGTACAAATCTGTACTGGCAGAAGAGACCCAATGTCAGTGTCCCCACCCAGCACCTCACTGTGCTCACATCTGTGCTCTTTATTCTCCTCAAACATTCAGCAATCATTGGCAAATGTCATTGGATACATTTTTTTCTGCATGGAAGAATTCAGCGACACACCTTTGCTTCATATGTACTTCCATATCAGAAGCCATTTTGTCAGACTCCCTCTCTGCTGCCACCTGTCACACAGCAACAAAATGTAATAGAATATTGTTGGGAAGGTTCAGCTTCTACTACTATACTACCATCATCTTCCTTGGACATCATGGACCAACATAAAAAAACTGGAGGCATAACATTCAGTATAGCTCTCATAGAATTAATCTAACATACAAAATAAACTGAACTTTTAAAATACGGAAATGTTAAAGATGCAGTGGTGAAAGAGAGAAAAATAGAGATTGAAGCAATTTGTACTTGCTCAGTCAAGGAATGGTATGGTATACATACTGTAGACCTCCTTAAAAACAGCAGGTTGCCTGAAAAGTAGTGCAAGCTAAAATTGCTTGTCTTCTCTCTCTAGAGCTTTTTCACTTTGCACAATTTCTTAACATAAATTAGCAGACTTAACAGACTTTGTAACAGTTTAGGAATTTCTTATTTGGCTGACAAAAAAAGTTCATGGGAACAACTTATATGATGGCCTAAATTTATAAGTAGATATAGCAGTTATCTTCAGAAATTACTATCTTCACTTCAAAATTGTTATTTGGTTTCATTATAGAGTTTCGTGTAATGGTCATAGGTTCTCCTGCTCCCATTTCTGAGTACTAACTACACTCACATTTTATGTGATACATCTCATTGAGATTTCTCTACCTAAAACTCTTTCTAAGGAACAAACAACTAAAACATATAGATTAAATCTCCAATTCTTCTCTTTTTTGCATCTATCCTAAAGAAAACTGATAGCAAAGTAACAGGGAGACTGATTACTGAAGTTGTAATTCAGTGTTACAGTTCCAATGGTCTCATAAACCTTTATGAACCTGTCAAAAACTCTTGACTGAATTACAGGCGTGTTGTCAATCTCTGTGAATCCATTATTGTATAAGTTGTTAGTGTGCCTCTAGCCATTACTCTCTGCACCAAACCTAGGTAAAATTAGATCATTTCTGTTAGGTTGAATTTCCCTTTATTTCTTTTAAGTAGGTTTTGCACTAAAGAACATTGTTGCTCTTCTCATGCATTTCTTTAGTCTTCTCAGAAGAAGCTTTTAAGAATTTGAAAGTCAAATAAAACCTGAACTTCCTAAAAGATGATAAGCAGAAAACAATTTTAGTAATTCTCTACCTTATTTTATGCATCATTTGCCAATTTTGCTCTTTTCATCCTAAAGTTTTACAGGGATTTCATCAACATACTAGCGCAGAACATACATGTACTTGCTACTTTACATTCTCCAGTTCTCACTGTTTACCTCACTCGGGAGAATGGTGACCAATTAACATAAGCGTTTCACTAGATCTGAGCAAAAATTTCACTAGATAATTGAATCTGTGTAATATGGGGTCATAAACATTTTTCTTGATCTCTGTGACAAGGTGTTGGCATGGAGACTGCTATGAAGCTTCCCTCTTTGAAGTCATGATTTTAATAAAGGACGGTGTCATGGTTTTAAGATTTTTTTATCACTATTTCACATTATAACATCATATAGTACACTGGGAGTTAAAGAGTTAATGCTCTAGTTCCGGGTAGCTGTCCCAGAAAAGAAGAATTACATCTCCCAGAGGACTCTTCACTGTTCTGTTCTGTTTCTGCTCAGAGGGAAAAGACAAAAGCTGTTCACATATCAGGAGATGCCCCTCATGTCTTCTGCTTGGCCTGACTAGCTGTCTTGCCTCAGCATTAGAGTAAGGCCTTCCGTTTCACACACTCTCATTTTATTTGATTTATTAGCTTCAATTCAAACTATATTGTATTATATTGTATTATAGTGTGTTGTCTTGCATTCCAATATCTTATTTAGTAAATTAGTTTGTTTCTCCTCAGATCACTGAGGAGAAAAACACTGTTTTGGGGTTTTTTTAGGTCTATCTATCCTTTTCCACTTTTTTGTCCCCTTTTCCCTTTCCTTAGGTGTGTGTCCGTGGGTCCCACCACCTTGCTAGTCATAGAACTGGGCCAAATCAGCCCATAAACCGTTGACAGAAAACATCAGACAGGCAGATGACGAGGGAAAAAAAAAAAAAGTGAAAGAGCAGAGAGAACACCAAATGCTCTAGTTTGGAGCAGACTTCCATAGTGCATTCCATAGAAGACCCAAACTGAGCAGGTGGATATTCCTGAAAGAACTGCAGATGAGCCCATGCTGGAGCCCATGCAGATGAACCCATGCCCATGCATGAGGAGGAAATATGAGCAGAAGCAGCTATATATTGATTGAAACCTGTCCCCATCATTTTGCTCTTCTCAGGACAGAGGGAAGAGTCTGGAATGAAGCAGTGAAACTGAGCTCTGAGTGGTTTAAGAAAGCTGTGGTTTTATTTTCTTTCTTTTTCAATACCCGAATATATTTTAGTTGGCAACAAATTAATTCATAGTCTCAAGCATGGTCTGTCTTGCCTGTGACAATAATTGGCAAGCAGTTACTCTGTTTCTGTTTCATCTCATGAGCTTTCTCATTCTATTTCCTCCAAGTGGTATACTGAGGAGGAGGGAGCAGCAATTGAGTGTACATTTGGCTATTAGCAAAGGTTAACCTACCATTACACTTAAAAGCATGTGTTCTCTTTTTCGACAATAGATACTCACTCAATATTTTAATTCATAAACCTGCCAGTGGCTACCAGTTGTTTCCCATTTGCAAATCAAGCATCAAATGCCTATTACATTAGCAAGGATACTGATACAATTGCTCTGAATAACATCAGCTGTATCTAGTACATTGAAGGTCAACACTGCAGCTTTTAAAATCATTTGACAAAAATGTTCCTCGAATTGCATGTTCTGCTTCCAAAGCTGCCCTTGAAATGTTGACTCTGGGAAACTAATTGTATAAACTAAACCAGTGGCTATTTATGCAGTTTATGCAGCCTTCCTCGCCACGTCATTTCAAGTATAAATTAACTGTCATCCTCCAGGGGGAAAAAAAAAAAAAAGGAATTATAGTAGCTAATGCCAATATTTGTCTTGATTTTTTAGATCATACTGACATGATATTGCTTGCAGTTTTTGCTGTTTTATGAGCAACCATTTGCACTTACATGTGTGGTTTCATAAACAAAGACCTGGGAAAAATCTTTATGCTATAAGGTCTTCAGAAATAACTTGGAAAATTTTAAAACATCAGTGACTGAGACTGCTCTCATCCACGAGGCTGAGTATACTCAATGTTCTTACATGGTTAGATTTTACAACTCCACATGTTCAGTATCTATTTTTGATTTATATTTAAAGTCTACTTTTGCTAAACTGAATGAAAAAAAGACAAAGAAAAACCTGCAACTGCATTGTCTGTGTTGCTACTAGCATTTCTAGGCAATTGCCCATTTGTCACATGAAATCTCCATATCTTCCACTTCATTTTTGAACAGTTCTTTGCTAAATGAACTGCCTTACAGCAAAAAGCCAAAAAGAAAAGTTCATTATTGTTTGCATTTCCTTGAAACAGAACATAAGCATGGCCTAAGCAAATTTCACATAACTTTAGGTCATTCCAATAATGCCTGGAAATCACTCGTAACAGATGTCTGGAGAAAAAAATTAGAAATCAGCAAAGAATAGCCTGGCACTTTTCCCTGATGTTCTTCTCAGTTATCAACCAGAAATCAGGAGTATGAGAACCTTAGAAATATTGATTATATCTTCGGTACTCAGGTACCAGCTAATGGTTTCATTTGTTAGTGAACAATAAGACTCTTAGCAGCCAGGACAGAGAACATTTATGCATCCAACACAAGCAGATGTTGGTACATGCCTGGGAGCCATTTTCTCAGTCTTCATTCTATATATTCATACCATGTCTCGCATGTAATATACATTTTGGACAGACATTTATACTCATTGCAACATTCAGTATTTTTTATGTCTCTCCATATTCTTTTTAAAGAAAACAGACATCGGGAACAAATGAAGGTTAGTATGTGAATTTGACTGTCAAGGCACACTTTGCTCAATAGCTATATGCAGCTTTCTCCTTATCACTACAGGCAAGATTCCCTTCGGCATCTTATCCTCTTTCATACATCAAAACAAATATGAGGAAATTTACTCACTTGAATGTCAGAACAAAGAAACTTCATCCTGTTTAGCTGACACTAAGGCATTTTCAGTGATATTACTACTATAATTTTATCATGAGAAACTAGAAGGAATGTGACCTAATCTGTTTGTATTCTGAATAAGAAGGGTAAAAAACATAGTTTGTTGTCTTACTTCAAATGGAAGCTCGCTTATTTCCATATTTCCAGACAAATCCAGTTTTTCAAGATTCTCACAGTCACCCAACTCCGGAGGGACAGACTTCAAATTATTAAAACTTACATTGAGTACTTTGAGATTTTTTAAGTGGCCTGTTAGAGAAAGACAATTAAAATCAGTGAAGGAGGGGGAAAAGAAAAAAGGAGAAAATAAAATAAAAGGCTTATTCAATGTAACGTATTAAAAAACTTCTTAATGTGGTGATGAGTAAGAAATGAATAAAATGAATAAATACCATCTATATACCACTAACATTGGAGGAGTAGGAAGTAAAAGAGCTTTGTTATATTCATACAGCTTTGTTAATCGTAATGACTGTGGTTAGGGTTTGTAAGCAGTAACAACTTGTTAAGACTTTGGTCCTACCAGGGAAAAGATACCTATGGACCTCAGCTAAAACTAGAGAATTTGGTCTCCACCTCAGGAAATTTGTCTGATGACTGAAAAACATTTTATTACTTGTTTGAGAACCTCTTGGTTGGGTTGCTATACCTAAGTTACCATATTAACAGTTCTGTCTCCTTTTACAGCATTGTGTATTTTTTATTATAAAAGATGAAGTATGTATTTGTTTTGTTATTTGTTTTATTGCAATCCCTCATTATTTGTCAGCTTTATTTTAGGACATCAAGAATATTTTAGGCTACATTTAGCCACACTGCATTCCCTACTTCTGTTACAGCATTAGACAAGCTTCGGCAAAAACAGATTTGAAAGCATTATTAAAATGCAGAACAACATTATACTGGAAAAATGCAAAGGAAGTAAGAAATCTGAAGATACTAAATAGCTGATGCATTACAAAGGGATCCTTAAACACACACATAATGAAGTCAAGAGAGCTTTGGATAGCTGTCCTGTTGGATGATACATGGATGATACCACATGGATAATATTCCCCTCTAAACAGTAACAAAATATAGCAATCACAATAGAAAGCACTAGTAAGAAATTTAGATGTGATTCATCAAATGGAAATAAAGAGAGAGCAGCATCTTTTTTAACAGATTCTCAAAGAAGACTATTTGTTGGCAAACCAGGCAAGCTCAAGGAGTAAAATTTTGTATCTTCTTCTATTTATAATCAAATTTTAAAGAAAAAAACTAGAGTTTCTTGATTTGGCTAACAATGGAGAGAATCTCCCTGCAATACATCACAAGTGTTCAAAATACTGTCATAATAGCAAACTATTCCTTATGGCACTACACTTAGTTATATTCCCTTCAGAGCAAGATCTACATGGTGCTGCTCAGCTATTACAAGGCATGGAAATGGCTGGAAGCCATTGCTGGAAGGTAAGTGGTGCTTGCAAACAAAAAGAAAAAACTGCAGAGAATAAAGAGTCTCAATATGTTTCTCTGAAATTTTTTGGCAGAGGCAGAGGCATGCAATTTGATGATCAATACTAGCAGCCTCAAATCACTTAGGCCTGCAGCATTTTGCATGGATCACATAGTTCCTCTTGGAAACAACATTATCTTGAAAGTATAAATTTAGCTGGGCCAGTATCCATCTAAATGTTTCTGTGAATTTGCCAGGCTGAATATGGTCAGAACAGCTTGGAACAGAGAAAAGTATAGAAGTGTCCACACAGCTTTCTCTCAGTTCTAGTTCTGACAGAAATAGAAACCGAGGTGATATTTTAAAACCCAGCTCTGTCCTTTTAAGAAAGTAGCTTTGTCGTTTCTCTCTGCTGTAAAGTCTTGTTTTAGCTAAAATAGAAAAAAAACATTCTCTGTAGGATCACAACATGCATGGTTTTAATAGTACAGTATCATCCTACAAGGGTCCCTAGAGCTGATGAGAGAGTAAGAGAAGAAATTCAAGGATATGAAAGAGTCATCCTCCTTTTTCCTGGTTTATTAAGCACAGAAAAGATTAACCTACCTATGATGAAGCCTTGCTAAGTTTAGTAGCATGATAAACAAATGAAGGTTCTACATCAAATGATTCATCTGTCTTTAAACATCAGACCAGTTAACCTCAGGGTACTCTATCCCCTGACCTGGAAGTCTCAGATGGGGAGCAGAATAAACCTCCCACAATTCAGGGGAAACAGTTAGAGATTCACTACCTCACTTGGGCTGCCACAAATCTGTGGGTCTGGATAGTTTCCACCCAAAGGTGCTGATGGAGGTAGCAGAAGTGATACCCAACTCACTTCCCAGCATCTTCCAGTATTCCTGGTCATCTGGAGAGGTCCCAGAGGACTGGAGATGCTGAAAGTGATATCCACCCAAAAGAAGGGTGGTAAGGAAGATCTGAGGAACTACAGGCTTGTCAGCATGGCCTCAGTGCTGAAGCAGATCATCTTGAGGGAGATCATACGGCACGTGCAGAACAACCAGGGCATCAGACTAGCCAGCATGGGCTTATGAAAGGCAGGTCTTGCTTGATCAATATTATCTCCTATGATCAAGTGATCCACCTCATGGATGAGGAAAAGGCTGTTGACATATTCTACCTAGACTTCAGCAAAGCCTTCAACATTGTTTTCCACAATATTCTCCTGGAAAACTGGCAGCCCAGGGCTTTGACAGATAAATCCTTTGCTGTGTAAAGAACTGGCTGATTACCAGATCCAGAAAGTGATAGTGAATGGAGTTAAATCCAGCTGGTGACAGGTCATGAGCTGTGTTCCCCAGGGATTGGTATTGGAGCCTGACCTGTTCAATATGTTTACTGCTGACCAAGATGAGGGCATTGAGTCCATCCTCAATAACTTTGCAGATGACACCAAGTTGGAAGGAAGTGTTAATCTCCTTGGGAAAGAAGGCCCTACAGAGCAATCTGAGCAGGCTGAATCACTGGACTGAGGTCAGTTGGATGAAGTTCAACAAGATCAAGCAACAGGTCCTGCACTTTGGCCACAACAACTCCAGGCAGGACTACAGACTTGGGCCAGAGTGGCTGGAAGACTGTATTGAAGAAACAGACCTGGGGGAGTTGGTCAGTGCTAGACTGAACATGAATCAGCAGTGTGCCCAAGTGGCCAAGTGGCACACTGCTGTTTCTTGGCCTTCTTGGCCACTTGGGCGCACTGCTGATTCATGTTCAGTTCAACCTGGTTTCTACCCAAAATAGCATTGCCAGCAGGAGCAGATTAGTCATCATCCCTCTGTAGTTAGCACTGGCAAGGCTGCACCTCAAGTACTATGTTCAGTTTTGGGTCCCTCACTACAAGAAAGATGGAGCCCTGAAGCATATTCCGAGAGGAGCAATGAAGCTGATGAGTCTTCTGGAGTACAAGTCTTATGAGGAACAGCCAAGGGAACTGGCTGTTAGTCTGGAGAAGAGGAGGTTGAGGGGTGACCTTATCACTCCCTGCTTGAAGGAAGGTTGTGTTTAGCTGTCTTTTCCAACCTTGGTGATTCTATGATTCTATGATTCTGTGATCAGCTCAACACTTATTGCAACAAAAAATCATTGACACAGAGGTGCCTCAAAATGAAATAGAAAATAAGAGAGTAAAAAATTCTTCCTCCCCAAATTAATTCCTTAGTAAATAAAAGCAAGTCCCATTGAAGTGAAAAAATAACTGCTTCCTCATTAACACAGGAATGTTTTATTTTCTCTTTTAGATAAGTAATACTCTCTTTTAACAAAGTAATACTGTACTCAATCTATCTGGGATAGAGTTAATTTTCTTCATAGAAGGTTGGATGATGATATGCTTTTGATTTGTGATCAAAACAGTAATGATACTATACTACACAATATTTTGACTATTGCTGAACTTCCTGTGCTTACAGACTGTCAAGGCCTAAACTGTTTCTCACTCCACCCAACCATAAACACACTCCAGAAGCAAACAGGCTGAGGGCTGGCAAGAATCAGAACGCAACTCATCAAAAGAATAACATCCACATGATACCAGAAAATCTTAAAGGTGAGTTTTCTAAGACGGCTATTGTTCAGTGACTGGCTACACATCAGCTGGCTGGTGGTAACTCTGATTGCTTCTGCATTACTTGGTTTCTCTTGCTTTTTTTTTTTTTTTTTGCTTTTTTTTTTTTTTTTTTTTTTTTGCTTTTTATCCTTTTTCCTTTCTTCATCATTAATCAAACTTTTTTTCTCAATTCAAGACATTTCTCATTTTTGCTTTTTTGATTCTCTCCCTTCACTGCAACAGAGTGAGTGGCTTAGCTGCCCATCAGGTTTAAACCACGGCAGACATTTTGCTGACTTTTCAGCCACCACAGTCTCAATTCTACTTTTTTTCTGAACAACTAATTGTAGACAAGGCACCCAGAGCCACAAGCATCCTAGGCATCCTTTTGTCTAACTCTGCTCAGAAGATGTATCTACAACACATGACTAGCAAACACGGAGCAGAATTAGTTATAACAAAAGCATTAAAATGTAACTGCTTTTTATAGGTAGTCTGATGGCTAGGAGCACAGATTCCTATTTTGACATTCCCGCCTTCTGAAATCACATTTTCCTACATTTTTTTCCTCATTTTCCAGTTTCTAATTTATATGCTGATGTTCACAGTATGGTTTGCCCCAGTTTGAAGGTATAGGAAAGCAGGTTAAAAAAAATGCATCGCATTTTCTCCCTTTCGTATAATCTCTGATCTGACAGAAGAGTGTTACAGAATCAACAGTCAGTAACTAGTAACTGCAGAGGCTAAGATTATTCAAATTACTGGATAAAGCCATATACCTTATGACTTAATTTAATTTAGGACAACTGAGTTTCCACTCACTCGCTCAAAGGTGAGTGGAATACAATTCCCCAGGATCTGTCTATAAGAACCAATTTCTGTGCACCAGCTTTTTTTTTTACTTGTGGTCTCTTCAATGGATTAAGTTATGTCACCTGACAGCTTAAAGGTAGATAAGCATTAACCTTCCCTCTAGAACCGTGAGAAGTTAATAGGGCACACCAGGACATTATTAATAAACCCCTTATACCACTACTTCACATAGCTCCATATATTTACCACATTTTATCTTAAAATTAATTTGGCTTTTGACATCCATTCCTCTAATGGAAAAACAAATTTACAGAATTTCACTTCTTACATAATTAGAAAGTCTTCTAATTGCCAGTTTTAATTTATTTATAGAAACCTTATAACCATGAA